GATCCATTCCACTGGAGCTTCTCCATCCGCCCATTCTCATTTTATCCTGTTCAAAGAGGCTGACTGTGAATACTGTAGGGGTGACCGGCTGGATTAGGAAAAATTATTGCACCGCCTCGAGGCTGTCCTTCATTGACTCAAGTCTTTTACAAAGCCACTTTATCTTATCATTGACGGATCGATGTGCACTGTCGTCATAGAATATCCAGTTATTGGCATGTTTTGTGTATATTGTATCCCTTTGTGCCAATTTATCTGTCGGATCTGACTTCATTACCATCTTTCTTCCACCATGATCAACAATTTTCTGTTCTGAGGGTAAAAGAAAACGTGTTAGAAAATAAGCTCGTGCAGAGGACAAATTCTTCAATGGGTTTTTAATTCTTCGGCAGGCAATTGTGGATAACTGACTGATGGGCGCAAAATTGTGAGAGATTTCTCTTGCAGAGATTCTCTGACTTTCTTCACCCACGATGGTTGCCCAGATGTTAGGGTTTGGTGATCTCTGTTCATTTCAGTTTTCCTTTTTTCCGCCACTTTCCACTCTTCTGTCAGGATCTCATCATCCCCTTCCCCCATGATCAAATCTTGAATAGGATGCTTTCCCTTTGAACTGTGATCTCATTCCCCTGCTGAAATCACAGCCCTCGTAGCTCGTGCAGGTTGTGTTTGACTCGCCTGCTGTGGAACTGGAAACAAAGGAGGGGAGTGTGATTCCCCTGCTTCCTTCTGATTACGTGATCTGTTCTGGGTTGATCCCTCCACCCCAGCAACTCCCCCATCCTCAATCCTATAATAGAAGATCTCCCTAGATCATACAACGGTCTAGGAATGTCGCTTCTGTTTTCTTGTTTGTTCTTGTTTTCCCTTGTTTTTTTCCTTCTCTATGTGCTTGTTTTTTTATGATACTATCTGAGGTGGAGCTAAATGTACCCGGACTGAGAAGTAGGATGTATTCTGGGCTGAATGAGGTAGCACTGAACAAGGCGGATCCTTGTTAGTATGGATGTTTTGACTATGGACACATACAGATGTTATTCCCATGCGAAGGGAATGGCAAGACAGGCATCATTTCTTAAACCACCAGTACATGGCCCCAGGCAACTGGAGAACCTGTTTTGAGCCTCTCTGAAAATTTACGAGGCCGAGCGTCGTAGATAAAATGAATCGGGGCGGGCATGTACTGGTGCTTTAAACCACCAGTACCTCGCTCAGCTATCAAGTCTGAGGCTCGGACTACCGGTAGCCCGATCATTCCCGAGCCTCAAACTTTATTGCCGAGCCTCGGAAAACCGGTAGTACATCAAAGAAAAAAAAAA